ATACAAAAACTACTGATGATGAACTACAGAGCACGATACATTAAAACTAAAGAGACCAACAAACAGGATCAAACACAACAAACAGACAACGACTTCTCTGAAGAAGAGAATGATATTTTTGATGATGTTTTCGGAAACCTCTCTCCGTCAGACAAAGCATCAAGTCAGTCTGACCCTGTTCACCCGATGGATGTTCAGATGGCCGTGTTTCATTGTGCTGATGGTTTCCTGAAGCAGCTGATGGTCACTAAACTGTCCCAGTGTCAGTACGCTCTGCCTCTGCTTGTTCCTGATCCATTCACACGACAGATCGAGTTTCCTCTCTGGACATTCAGACAAGTCAAGAAGAGCTGGAAGATGAGAAACAACAATGAAATCATCAGTCAAACCCAGCCGATCTACAAGGCAGAAACTCCAATGGTGTTTTTCTTCAGGTTTGGCTCTGTGTCTTCATCCAAGTCTCAGTTGATGAACAGTCTGATCAATGAGAAACACAACACGTTCTTCCACAGGAACTGCCCAGGCAGCAGCAGAACCAGAGTCCTGATGGATGGAGTGGTGGAGATCGCCTGGTTCTGCCCATCTGGAACAAATGATGATAAATTCACTGACTGTGTAGCGTTCTGTAATCTACACGGTGATGCAGGAGACCATGAAAAACAGCTGCAGATCCTCACTGAAATGGCCTCAGTCAATGTTGTTCTTCTACCACAACTTGACAGGAACGAAAGCATTAAAATGATTCAAAACCTGTACACAAACAAAAAGCCACTCATTTGTCTTCTTACTGAGGATGAATCTACTGTAACAGAGATGAATAATACAAAATTAAAAATCGGTCTGAAGGAAAGAAGTCATTCAGATGCATCTGAAGAACTCAGAAGAGCTATAAATGATTGTCTCCCAGAAACATCTTTCACTTTCAGACTTGAAGATGTGTCCAAACACTCAGATATCAGAGTAGATGAGGAAGATGATGATGACAGCAGGAGAGGAAGAGAAGCAGCACAGCAGATGATGAGTTTACTGGAGAAGAAAGATCTGAGAGAAATCAAAGAATAATTTCTGCCTCATCAGGGGAAACTGTGGCATCAGTGGTGTCAGAAGAACAAAGAACTACATCGACCTCGAGCAGATGAGACAGAGATGGACATAAGCAGAAAACAAGCCAACCTCAAGAGACTGCGTGAGCAGCAGCATGCATTTAACATATGTACTTTTATACAGTTCTTTATTAAAGAAATTCACTTGCTTGCTGAGAATAAGATCTATTTTCTAAAATGGCTTGAAATCTTCCTGGATGAATATATTTCAATGGATATTTCTGTTCTTCATCAGAAGTATGATGAAAAGTGGTCAGCAGTTGTAAAACTGAAAGAGAATAATTATAAACCTGAACAAATCAAAACTGAACAAGAAGAATTTGAGAGAATATATGAGGAAATTCAAACTGTGGGCTTTGGTTTGGAGCACATCATGAGGGAGATCAGTCAGATCTATGAATCATGTTAATCTGTGAAGAAGAACAAGAAAGACCTGCAGGTTCACTTCTCTTCTCTCCCGAGTCTTGCAGCAGAGATGATGATCTCTGGATTTCCACTGGAGTTGATGGATGGAGATGCTGCTCATGTTCCTGTGATCTGGATCTCTGCTGTTCTAGATCAACTCATCCAGAAGCTGGAAGACCAGAGAGTCTTTGTGCTGTCAGTTTTAGGGACTCAGAGCTCTGGGAAATCCACAATGCTGAATGCCATGTTTGGACTCCAGTTTGCCGTCAGCGCTGGCAGGTGCACCAGAGGAGCTTTCATGCAGCTGGTCAGAGTGTCAGACGAGATGAAAACACAGATGAACTTTGACTATATTCTGGTTGTTGATACTGAGGGCCTTGGAGCTCTAGAACTGTCTGGAAGATCAACAAGAGATCATGACAATGAACTGGCCACATTTGTTGTTGGTCTTGCAAATCAAACCTTGATCAGTATATTTGGAGAAAACCCATCTGGGATGCAGGACATTCTTCAGATTGTTGTTCAGGTCTTCATGAGGATGAAGAAGGTCAGACTGAATCCCAGCTGTGTGTTTGTGCATCAGAACATTTCAGACATCACAGCTAGAGAGAAAAACATGGAGGGAAGGAGAAGGCTCCTGGAGACACTGAATGAGATGACAAAACTTGCTGCTAAAGATGAAGGCTATGATGCTGAATGTTTCAGTGACGTCATTAGATTTGATGTTCAGAATGATGTGAAATATTTTGCTCAGCTCTGGGAGGGCAGCCCACCAATGGCAACACCGAACCCAAACTACTGTGAGAACATTCAAGAACTAAAGGAAACTATTGAGACTTGTGCATCAAAATCACATGGAATGACGCTGACACACTTAAAAGATCGTATTAAAGATCTTTGGGACGCTTTACTGAAGGAACAATTCATCATCAACTTCAGAAAATCTCTGGAGATTTCAGCATACAGGAAACTGGAGACCGAATACAGCAAATGGTCCTGGAGTCTTCGCAGTGCCATGATGGAAACCGAGAACAAACTGCACAACCAAATAGAAAATGAAACAATTCATGAAGTTAAGGAAACTAATCTTCAGAGAGAAATGAAGAAGACAAGTGAAAAAGTGAAAAAATCAATGTCTGAATTTTTTGAGAAAGACACTAATGCTGATATACTGATTCAGTGGAAAACATCATTTGAAATCAAAATCAAAGAACTTCAGGAAAACATTGTGAGAGAAACAGAAAGCAAATTAAATCAGATTCTTCAGCAGGAAGACCTGAAGAAAAAGATTGATGCTCAGAGGACACACCATGAAAACACTCTCATTGAAAAGAGCAAAAAACTTGCCTTAGAATTCAAAGACAAAACAATTGATGCAGAAATATTGAAGAAACAGTTTGATTTGTTTTGGAAACAGTGTGTGAAGAAGATCATCACAGAGAGTCCTCCAATCAAAGACATTGACATAATGAGAGATTTGAAACTCCTTCTCAATGACATCTATAAAAGTGTTTCTGTGGACCAACGTATGGAGAAAAGTGAGAGCAAGGATGTTTTTTCTGTACCAAGTTATTCAGATTATGTACAGCTAAAGAAATCCAGTGGATTTACAGGATCAGGAACAAACATCCACAGATCAACTAAGAAGTTTGGTTACAGTCTATCAAGAGAGGATGAAGCCCAAATAAGATCATTAGTCACAGACATTGCTCAGCATACAGACTCAATGATCATGTCATTTAACATTTCAAAGATGGGCTACAACATCAGATGCATTCAACAAATTACAGATTACATCAAGAAGAGAGTAACAGAACATCAGGAAGGACCAGTGAAATATGTGTTCAAGAATGAATTCTTCAGGGATTTGGTTCTTTCCATCTGTATGAGAGCAAACAAGATGATCACTGACCAACACAGAATTTTCAGGGATGCCAATGATCCTGCAATATATGTTAAGAAGAAGAGAGAACAGTATTATAGTATTTTTAAGAAATACTGTCATGAAGCAACATCAGTTACCATTTTTGGTGAGATCATCTGTCAGAAACTTAAAGATTCCATTGAGCAGAGTGTCTACAAGAAGACTGCCAGAGATTTAGCAGATGAAATCAGAATGAACTGTGAATCACTGAATGGAAACAGATCAAAACTGGAGAAATACATCCTGAAGACACTGGCAGAAGAGAATGATTTTGACAAATACATGAACTACATTCATAATCCTAAAGATCACTTCAAGAGTTTCATCAGAGATGAAGTCAGTCGGTACATCACTGATAAGTTCAGTGTCAGTGTTTTACCCAAGATGAAGGAGAACATTAAACTCCTGCAGCAGAAGATCATGAAAACAGAATCTACTGAATGTGTTCAAGTGAACAATGGAAATGTTGGTTTGTGGTTGAAGAGTTTCACACAGCAGCTCTCAGATGAGCTGATCTTCTCTGAAAAAGACCTCAGTGGAGTGAAACATGATGATGATGGTGTTGATGATTTCAGCCTCCTACAAGATGTGATAAGAGATAAACTTCCTGATGTAATGTCTGAGATCAGCCTCAGATTCAACACAAAGGCTTTCCCCAAGAATCTGGACTATAAGTTCAGACCAGATGAGCTTCTGATTGATCACTTCTGCCAGTGCTGTTGGGTTCAATGTCCGTTCTGTAAAGCTACCTGCACCAACACCATAGAAAACCATGATGGAGATCACAGTGTTCCTTTCCATCGTGTTATTGGACTAAACGGGATGCATTACAAGAATACAAGAAACTTGTCTACTAGCATCTGTACATCAGCGGTAGCAAGCAATCTATCTTTTTATCCCAATGCCTCAGATGATAATGTCCTCTGGCAAGAATACAGGACAGCAGGAGGGGATTATGCAGACTGGAGCATCACCTCTGACCTCTCTGAGCTGCCATACTGGAAGTGGTTTGTGTGCAGATTCAAGAAAGATCTGGAAAAATACTACAATAAAACATTTGAGGGGAGGGGTAAGATACCAGATGAATGGAAAAAATGTTCAAAACAGGATGCTGTTGAAAGTTTGGATCAATATATCTGAAGAAATACATACAGAATGAGACTGCGACATCTATTCTGGGATTCTTCTCAGATCACAGTTAGAGAAGAATTTATATTATACATCTCAGCAAATACTCTGGATACAAGAGGCTGAGAGACAAGACCCAATTCCTCATACAAGCACCTGCAAAACGATTTCAACTTCAAAACATCATTTTTAAAGAACACACTTTTTTGTGACAAAAATATAAAGCTCCAAATTTTCAGATAAGGCTATTAATGATAAAATGTCATATATGACCATGAACGTATATGAGTGTGAATATGTAAATGTGGGGCAGAATAGTGTTTTTTTAAAGCTCAGAGCTGTTAATTGAATACATACATTGTATTTTTTTCTGTTAAAAACAACAAGTTTCCCAAAAATCTGGACTGTAGGTTCAGACCAGATGAGCTTCTGCTCGATCACTTGTCAGTGCTGTTGGGTTCAATGTCGGTTCTGTAAAGCTACCTGCACAAACACCATAGAAAACCATGATGGAGATCACTGTGTTCCTTTCCATCGTGTTATTGGACTAAACGGAATGCATTACTAGAATACAAGAAACTTGTCTACTAGCATCTGCACATCAGCGGTAGCAAGCAATCGATCTTTTTATCCCAATGCCTCAGATGATAATGTCTTCTGGCAAGAATACAGGACAGCAGGAGGGTAATAAGTGTCATCTTACAGTTACATATATTTATATATTAGTGCTGGGCGGTATACCGGTTCATACCGAATACCGGTGTTTATTTTTGTTATGATATGAATTTTTAAAATACCGCAATACCGGTGTATGCCACTTAATCAACGTTCGGAACGCGACACTGTTTGAAAGGGGTCCCTTTTCACTGTTGCACTGTGGTGAGGGAGCAGCTGTATGTGTTACTAAGCGTGAAAATTACGAAACTGAAGCTGTAGAACTAATAGAACATGATGACACAGAAGAACTCATCCACAATATCCACATTGACCGCCACAAATATCCACCGCCCCCTGCCATCAGCTCCCGCGTCTCACACACACGAGCGCGACTTTAGCACTAGATTTAGCAACTTTCAGACCCTTTTAGCGGCTTTTTTCCATAGAATATTCATACTGACAAACCTAGCGACTTTTTTGGATAAACCTTAGCTATGGTTCAGTTGGAAGATTTCGCCAGTGCTGTCCCGCGAACGCGAGGTCTGACTTTCCCGGAGAAGTGTCGTCTCTCTCGGCGTCTGTTCTGTGCAGTGAGCGGCAGAGAAGCAGCGCATTCAGTTGGCCGCACTGCAGCCGACTCGTCAATAAATGAGTACAAAACAGCGTTTCCTAGCACCCTGTCGCTTACTGATTGTTTGGAATTATAAATATGAGCGTAGTTCGTTTGTTAATATCACATGCACTTTTTTGTTTGTTGTTTTTTTTTAGTTTGTTACTCAGACGCAGGCAGTGCGCTGCATGAGACAAAAAAGTATTATAGCCGCTCTTTAGTGTAGATGCATGTTGATTTTATCAGACGATGCCGTGATTATAAATGAGAGTGACTCCTGGTTAACATGTATTAAAAGGGGTCGTGTTTAGTCACTATTTAGTGTGGTATTTTTTGACAATATTCACTCATCATGACAGTAAAATAGGGCATTCTAAGTCAATATACTGCAGTATTTCCTCTCTCAATCAGTAGAAAATATGGTTAACACCCGGTCATGCATGAAAAAAAATACCGTCATGTACCGTGAAACCGGTATAATTTTGAAAAATACTGTGATATAAATTTTTGGTCATACCGCCCAGCACTAATATATATATATATAATGTGCGACTTTGTTTTGATATTATAAATTATTGTTGTGAATATCTCGTTCATATGTGAAATTCCCATTGTTATGAAAATAGCCAATCATCTGCCAGCTGAGAAATCATCTGAACTCTTGTCTGTTCCCAAAATGAACAAGCAAATAAGGATATCACACAGAAAACTTAAGCTCTAAAATTTCACTCTGTAAATTCAAGCCAACTAACTTTTCTGACAAATTTGTGTCATGTGAGACGCCCACATACAAGCCAAAAAAAAAGTTCATGGTTCAGTGGTAAGCCGTGAAGAAAATGTTTTTCATGGATCTATTTTATTCAGTTTTTCTAAATAATGCTAGAGAAAAGCATAATTTAATCAGATTACTAAAACAATTAAAACATATCTCATTTAAAAAAAAAAATCACATATACTGTAATCAGTAGATGATCTAATGCTCCATTGTCTTATGTAAACAATGAATTTTACCAAGTAAGAATAAAACAAAACTTAATAGCATGTCTGTGTTCTTGTCTCATTGAAGTCCTGGTCAAATACCGCATGCAGATCAACAGCTGAAAGACAAAATGTTCTGATCCCTCTCTAACAGATGAAACGTTCAATCAGTGTATGAACAGAATGAACATTAAAGAAAACCAGTTCAGGTGATCTAGATTCAGTCCAGACAGAGTGAAAATATACTGAACTGCACCCATCTGGTTCTCATCAATTATGCTTGGTTTTAACCACATGAAGTAAAAATACATTCATAAAAAAACACATCTTAAAGGTAAAAGCAGAATGTGCTCTGGGTCATGAGATTACTACCTTTGTGGTCATCTAACAATTACTTAAATATATTTAAAAACACTAATAACTGATTAACATTGTTAAATTGAATCTTTAACAATTCTCAAAATGAACATTAATTTCTCACACTGTAGATGTAACATGTAGAATTTAAAATGACTGATTTCAGTTTTAAATCTTTATTATTATTATTGATGTAATGGTCATAATTATTGAAATATAAGTACTTTAAGCTAACATTAACATATTTGTACATGAACAGATAGTAATTACGACATGTAGTGCATTGTTTTGGCAACAATATATTTACAACATGAGTTACACATTCAGACTAGCACTTAAAGGATGTTTGAGAGAACTAATTAACCGACTAGCGAAGCGGTCTAAGTCTCTGTACCATGAGTCTCGGTACAGGTGACTGTTCATCAAAGGATGTTTGTAATAACTGCAGCTCTGGAGTCTGAGTGCTGTCATACTGACACTGATGATGGTGTACCTGGGACAGATGGAGAAACAGGGTCCAATCTCTGCTTGTGTTTTCTGAGTAGATGTGCTGCTGACATTGTTGATGACTGTTACTGTGTTTACCACACAGAGGACCGTAGAAACCGTCCAGCTACACCAACAAACACACAAGCACACATGGTCCATTAGCACACACGGAGGACAGTAAGCATGATAGAATTAACATGATAGAATTAAGCATGATAGAATTAACTTGCAAGCACTAATTATCAGCTCAATTATTAGTCTGAATCCTTTATTTTAGACCATCTTTAGGCTGTGATGTCACATCTGAATCCATAATGCACTGATGGTAATGATAATGATAAAAATACAAACATTTATTTGTATTTTATAGCACAATATAAACAGACAGTTTGGAGATGATCAGCACAAATTATTGCACAATCTATACTAATTAATGCTGTTTACCAAGTCAAACATCAGTAGCAACTAAACAATTTAACCAGTAGGTGGTGACACGTGAGCATCTTTTGATAAGAACAACTCACTGTATCACTGACTCAATGATTCATCGAAAAACAGTGAGTCGTTCACAGCCTTGGAATGAATGGAAATGATTCGTTTACTTAAACGATTCATTACAATTAGCATACGGCTCAAGTGAGCATCATGGATCAAGAGCAAGTGACAAACTCTCTACAGTTGAAGTTCAAAAATAGGAAAGTGATTACTGTGAAGTTGGCAGTTTAAGGTGTTTTAACAAGGGAACTATTTATCTCAAATTTCGCCTCACGGAAGAATATTCTTGGACAAATGAACCAAACAGTGCATTTAATTACAAAATCACGCTCAAAGACACAAAACAGTACACATCTAGAGCTATATTTATATTTACATGAGCAAAATCGATTAATAAAATCAGGATTGACAGCACTTGCCTTATCTCTGGCGTCCGTCCGCTGGAAAGTGACCGTTAAATTCAGGCGCGTGCGGAGTAGATCAAACTTTTGCGCGCTGCTAAAGGTTTAAAATTCAAACATAAGTTTATCGTTTATCTCGTGTCCCTATTCAAAACATATTTAATTCATAAAAATAAAAATATTATATATAAACACTATTTACGTATATATATATATATATATATATATGTGTGTGTGTGTGTGTGTGTGATTTAGATCACATAAGTATAAATTATGACAAAAATAATTATGCTTTATTATGAATTAATTCATTAATTAGGCATTTATATGGCACTTTATTGTGTATTGCTGTACACCCAAAGAACTTCACAATCATATGAGGGGGTCACTCCTCAACCACCACCAGTGTGCAGCATCCACCTGGATGATGCGACGGCAGCCACAGTACAACAGCGCCAGTGCGCTCACCACACACCAGCTGGAGAGGAGAGAGCGATAGAGCCAATTTAATGAATGGGGATTATTAGGAGGCCATGATTGACAAGGGCCGATGGAGGGAATTTGGCCAGGACACCGGGGATACACCCCTACTCTTTACAGAAGTGCCATGGGGTTTTAAATGACCAGAGAGAGTCAGGAACTCGGTTTAACGTCTCATCCTCAAGTGCGGGGCCCGGTGCAGCCGCGCCAGGTGCACCCCACTAAGGACGGCCCTGCATACAAAATAACAGCTGTTCCCTGAATCCACTGCCGACACAGGTAGCCTACTCACACTGCACATATAGAGTGACTCAAGTATATGCGCTGCCGAAATGTCAGTTTTGCATTTTGTGCTGAAACCGGCAGCGCATAGCCGAGATTTATGCTTTCAGTTTGACTGGAAATCTTATACAGTATTACAATTAGTCGATCTAAACAGTGATTGTGCATTAACAGCTGTCAACAATGTCAGTATGCAAATGAGCGGTCCAAACATATTTACAGATCGCATTTTTGATATTGGTTGCACATGCGCACCACTTATGCGCACCTCTGGGAATATGCGATTGTTCATTTAAGGCCACTTCGACTACTTGAACACAGTTACAACAGCTAAATATAATCTGATGGCTTGGAAATGTAACGTTTTACGCACACATAATCCAATTTTCAGCCTTGTAGTCGATTTCAAACTCTTCCGATTACTTCATTGAACATAATGAAAAATATTTACATACTTCTAGTGGTAATGGTGATAGTGATTTTGGACATTCAACTTACTCCGAGAGTGTGTGTTACAAACTGTATACATGACGTTCCCTCCCTCCACAAAGCCTCCTCCCCATACAGTGGGGAAAATATTTATTTGATGGTAGGTTTATTTTAACGTATAGAGACAGAATACCAACCAAAAAAATCCATAAAAGACACATTTTATAAAGGTTAGAAATTGATTTGCATTTCAGTGAGTGAAATAAGTATTTGATCCCCAAGAAAAACATGACTTAGTACTTGGTGCAGAAACCCTTGATGGCAATCACAGAGGTAAGTCGTTTTTTTGTATTTGTTTACCAGGTTTGCACACATCTCAGGAGGTATTTTGATCCACTCCTCTTTACAGAGCCTCTCTAAATCCTAAAGGTTTCTTGGTTGTCGTTTGGCAACTTGAAGTTTCAGCTCCCTCCACAGATTTTCTATAGGATTGAGGTCTGGAGACTGGCTAGGCCCCTCCATGACCTTAATGTGCTGCTTCTTGAGCCACTCCTTTGTTGCCTTGGTGGTATGTTTTGGGTCATTGTCATGCTGGAAGACCCATCCATGACCCATCTTCAGTGTTCTGGCTGAGGTTCT